TCCCCCTTCTCAACTGGTAGGAAAATGATGAAAGATTTTTTATTTTGTTACAAAAACATATCGAAATGTAGCCCTTGTCGTAAACTGTTTCTATTTGGTTTTTAATTGACGAGTGCAACACCCGTTCAACGATCGTCAAGGGAGCAATAAATCAAGACCATGCTCTGAGACCCTCTTGAAAACATGCCGCAGGACGCGGACGGCATCTGTGCACCCTTTTTATCCCCGTGGTGTCGTTCCGCTTCCAACTGCTGCCAGTGGCTGACTATCTCGCCAAATTTGTACGTTAAAGGCGCTTGAAGAGCCCACCCGTGCTACCGTGGAGAAAAAAATGGCACCATTCTTGGGCGGTGTTCTGCCCTGCAAACCCCGAGTCTATATTTCTGATGAATTAAATGGAACTGCTGCGGAAATTCTGCCGTGAGAGTACGCGCATATTTGCAATGGTTGTGATGGGTGCTCGTGAAGAAGAAACTTCACACAGAAAAGCAGGCTACAGTTAATTTGTGGACGGACTACCCCATTCATAAAACCTCTAACGCCCATGAATGTCCTCACAGGTTCTAGCATGCTTCGCAAGGTGTTAGCACAGCGAGTAAAGGTCTCGAATGCAGCCTGCAGTACTACTGTCTCCAAGGGCACATCAAGGACATGGGCGAGTGTACGGGCCCGCCGCCACATAGGTAGCATTAAATTTACCGCTCCCTCAGCTAAACCTCAAGCATGTTGTTTCCAAGCGCATGTGCCTATCTCATCGTCATACGTGGCCCAGCGACGCCTGGTTTTCTCACGGGCATTTAGCACGAAAGTCCCCACGGCTTCCGAAAACGCCGGGGCACCAGCAACAGGCGGCGTCGTAGGCCTGCGGGCAGGGGTGCCATACGCCCAGCTCATTGTCGGGGTGCCACGTGAGACATATCCAGGTGAATGCCGAGTAGCGGGGACCCCTGAAACCGTGAGCAAGCTGGTATCGCAGGGGATCAACGTGAACGTCGAAAAAGGAGCTGGGGCCCGCGCCGGGTATACCGACGCCGCGTACCTGGCGGCTGGAGCCACCGTTGTGGACACCGGCGCCGTTTGGAGGTCGCACATTGTCACGAAGGTGCGCCCACCGTCTGTGGAAGAAGCCGAGCTTCTAGAAGACCGAGCACTGATCTCCATCGTACAGCCTGCCCAGAACCCCGCATTGCTGCAAACCTTCCAGAAGAACAAAGCCACGGTCCTGGGCCTGGATCAGCTGCCCCGCACGCTCTCGCGCGGACAGGCGTTTGACGTCCTATCGTCGCAGGCGAACATCGCCGGGTACAAAGCCGTTCTTGAGGCCTTCAATGCCTTCCAACGCTTTGTGCCCGGGCAGATAACGGCGGCCGGACGGGTACAACCTGCCAAAGTGCTGGTCCTAGGGGCCGGGGTGGCGGGGCTGTCGGCAATACAGCATGCTAAAAATTTGGGGGCGGTCGTGCGGGCGTTTGACGTGCGCCCGGTGGTGAAGGAGCAGGTGGAGAGCCTGGGAGGGGAATTCGTGGAGGTGGCCCATCAAGAGGACGGGAGCGGCGCGGGCGGATACGCCAAGGTACGTGACCTCCGTCCATCTGCTCGGCCCATCAGACATGGATGGGCAACGAGTCTGGTCGGAGGGGGGGGGGGTTCATAGCTCCAATGTGTTGCGGAGAGAGACCGACCCTGTCTGCGTGTCCTCGAGCTGATCGTCTCTCTCCTCCCAGGAAATGTCTGCCGCCTGGCACGAAGCCGCCCGTCGGGCCCTGGCGGAACAGTGCCGGGAATGCGACATCATTATAGCCACGGCGCTGATTCCGGGGAAAAAGGCCCCGCGTTTGATCCACGAGGACATGGTGGCTCTCCTCAAGCCGGGGTCCGTGGTCGTGGACCTGGCGGCCGAGTCCGGGGGGAACGTGGCGGGCTCGGAGCCCAACCGCGTGTACACGACGGAGCAGGGCGTGACCATGGTCGGGTTCACGGACCTGCCCTCCCGGTTGCCCACCACGGCCTCCACGCTCTTCGCCAATAACGTGAGCAAGTTCCTCCTCTCCCTCGGGCCACAGACGACCAAGGAGAAAGGGGTCTTCAAGATCGATCACCAGGATGAGGCTGCCCGGGGATGTCTGATCACAGACCACGGGGAGCTGACCTGGCCTCCGCCCCCCCCTCCGAGTCTGGCGGCGGCCACAGGCACAACGCCGGCTGGGAAAGCGAAGGCAAAGGACGCTCAAGTGGTGGCGGTCGACCCTCGACAGGCATTTCTGACTACGGCCCTGTGGGGAAGCGTGGGCGCGGGGGGTATGGTGGCCTTGGGAATGGCGGGTCCTGGCCCGGCGTTTAACAGCATGCTCACTACCTTCGCCTTGTCGACCATGTTGGGGTACCACACCGTCCAAGGCGTAGCCCACTCTCTGCACTCGCCCTTGATGAGCGTGACCAACGCGATCAGTGGGACCACGGCCTTGGGGGGAATGATCCTTTTATCCCACGGCGTACACGACGGCCACCTGACCGCCCAGGTCCTGGGAGCGGGCGCCACACTGATCTCAGCGGTCAACATCGGCGGAGGTTTCAAGGTGACCGGAGCGATGCTGGACATGTTCCGGCGCAAAGAGGACGCCCCCGAGTACAACCACCTCTACGCCATCCCGGCCGGGACCCTAGCCGCCGGGTATCTGTACGGGCTCCACGCCGGCCACGGCGAAGACTTGACGTCCCTCGTTTCCCTTATCTCCGCGCTGTGTTGCGTGGGAGGTATCGCGGGGCTGTCTTCCCAGCAGACGGCACGGCTCGGCAATGTCCTTGGGATGAGCGGCGTGGGACTGGGCACGCTGGCCACTCTGGGCTCTCTCCAAGCCCCCATGCCCGTTCTCGCAGGGGTCATGGGTCTCCTCGGCGGGGGAGGTCTGATGGGCGTGCGAATTGCCGCCAAGGTGGGCCCCTCCGAGCTGCCCCAGACCGTCGCCGCTTTCCATTCGCTCGTGGGGCTGGCGGCGCTTGGAACGGCTGTCGGGGACGCGACGCTCTACCTGGGGAATCCAGAAATCATGGACTCCACCCGCATGTCCGCAGTCTACCTCGCAAGTGTGATCGGTTCCATCACAGCCACGGGCTCCGTCGTTGCCTTTGGGAAGCTGCAAGGCTGGCTGCATTCCAAGGCCTTGTCCCTCCCAGGTCGGGACGCAATCAACCTCGGCCTCGGCGTCGGAACTGCCGCCAGTGCAGTAGGCTTTGGTCTGGCCGGCTCGCCCGAAGGGGCGCTGGCGTGCCTTGGAGCAGGATCCTTGTTGAGTGGAGCTCTCGGTGCACACATGACTGCATCAATCGGGGGGGCCGATATGCCAGTGGTGGTGACTGTCCTGAACTCGTACAGTGGCTGGGCATTGTGCGCGGAGGGGTTCATGTTGAATTCTCCTCTCTTGACGACGGTCGGGGCATTGATTGGGTCGTCCGGTGCCATTCTGACCCACATCATGTGTAAAGCGATGAACCGTGACATTGTTTCCGTGCTCCTGGGGGGCTACGGCACTTCGTCGACGGGCAAGGGGGAGGCCATGAAGATCGAGGGCGAGCCGACCATGACGGATGTTGCGCAGACTGTGGAGCTTCTGACGAATAGCAAGAAGGTGGTGATTGTTCCCGGCTATGGTACGTCCTACATAATTCCGACGAAAGGGAGAAGAGTCCTGCTGCAGAAGAGTGACAAGAAGTGACCTTGGATATCGTTCCTCCGAAGGCGTCGGGATGTTTGAATTACCTCACTTACACACACCCCCTACCCCAAAATGCTACAGGTCTGGCCGTGGCCAAGGCTCAGTACGCCATTGCCGAGCTAGTTGAAAAGCTGCACCATCACGGCATCAAGACTACCTTCGGCATTCATCCCGGTGAGGCTACTTCGAAAGTCTTTGTCTCGGACTGGAGATGTACTTTCTGTCGAGTCCCATGACCCCAACCCTAACCCCCTTCCAAGAAAAATAGAATGCTGAACTTCTCTATACCCCCGTCACGACAGTGGCAGGGCGCATGCCTGGGCAGCTGAACGTGCTACTGGCGGAAGCGGGTGTACCGTACGACGTGGTACAGGAAATGGACGAAATAAATGAACACATCCACGAATCAGACGCATGCCTTGTGATAGGGGCGAACGACACGGTCAACAGTGCGGCTGAGGAAGATCCAAACAGCCCTTTGGCGGGTATGCCCGTGATTCGAGCTTGGGAGAGTAAAAACGTCGTTGTCATGAAGCGGTCGATGGCCTCTGGATACGCCGGTGTGGATAACCCTCTGTTTGTGAAGGTGCGTTGGAGACAGACACTTAAATGGGAACATTGGATCGATGGAAGCGACGAGTGCCGGGAGATCGTGACCGATTCCATTGATGGCACTAGGAATGGTGCAAAGAACAAGCTGCTTATAACGTCACTACATACATACATACAGCCTAATACCCAAATGCTTTTGGGCGATGCTAAGAAGACCGTGGATTCAATTTTAGCCGCCACAAAAGAGCATTATGCCAAGGAAAGCGGTGCAATTTAGATGAATATACAAAGGGGAAATGCGTCCGAGTGGGACCTGAGCCAGTGTACTGATCTATACGACATTGTGTCACACCCAGTGGCCAGGCAAGTGGGCTGCCAGTGGGAGCACCGGCCGAGGGTGTGACTGAAGTTTCATGGCCATGTTTTCGCGAGGGGTGGGGAGGGGGGGGGAATGCCATTAGATAAGCGAGAAAGCAGAGCTTAGGAGGTCATGCTTGTAATCAGTCTGAGGCGCATGCTTGGTGAAGGGCACTCGGGGAAGACACACACTTGACCGCGTTATTTTCACGAAAACCAATATCTGAAACTCAGATGGTCACCAGATGAAAACTTCTGGAGTAAAAGCGACTTTCTGGCTCTGTGAACTCAACCAAGCGTGAGGCCATTCCAAGAATGCCACATTCCAACATCAAGTGATGATGCCAAATTTTCGACATTCATCGGAGTAAATCCCAACGGCTTTAAAGTATTTATTTATCCCGTCGCATTCTTTACTTTTGCTTCCTCTAACGAAGGCATCAAGGGCAACGCTAGAACACTTGTTTTGTTCCTCGTCCTAACACTATGGTAAGTAAGAAGACTTCCCTGATAGCTGACAGCGCGCGTGCTAGTCGCGTCAGTTTTCTCCGCCACTTCATAATCGGAACCCCTCACTTCTCGCTATCCGTCGATCATCTTCTTTGAATGGCTGTGCTCTTGCCTTTCTGCTTTCCTCTCATGTCGACAATTGACTTTCCCGCAAGTCGTTCTTCTTCCTCGATCCGCAGCAAAACCGGCGGAATGGTACCAGCTTCACACCATTCCAGTCGCTGGTTGGTCTTGGCCTTCTGATCCAAGCCCACCATCTCCATGTACTGAGCGAAGCTCCGTACTTTACCCATACCATAGCTCTCCTTATCGACCTTAAGGGACTGAGGCCAGACAAGCTCGTCGTCGACCTCAGGGTATTCGAGCATGTTCTTCACTCGACGGATGGCGATGGTGTTCAACCGATTGTGAAAGCCCGGACGCTTGAAAGTCCGCCCTACCGTCTCCCAGAATTTAGGCTTGTTTCGTCGGACATAAATGTGGGAAAGTACGTTGATGGTTGGGGAGAATATGTGGTAACCATTTGTGAAGGCGCGCGAAGAGAGCAGGATCTCCTCGCCCATGAAGACCCAGGGCAGATAGGGGTCAAAAGGCACGTCCACCACGAACTGGCCCGTTGTGAAAAAGAAGCCGGCAGCAACATAGGGCGCAAATCGAGGTGTTGGTGGCTCCTCATGCTCGTACCTAGAGGAGCCCATCAGCCGTACTATCTGGGATTCGATCCCGGGTTCACAAAAGTATCCCTCGCACATCCTGAGGCCGATGGACCGCTGCCAGTGTCCTCCTTGGGGCGGGGGATAGTTGGTTATGACAGGATTCGGCCGTTCCGCTAGTGTCATCATCTTTTTAAGCTCCATATCCCACTTCTCCGCGAAGAACATGTGGGCGTCGATTTGCATAAAATACGATTCCCCGTTCCAGAGCTTGGAGGCAAAGTACCTCGCCATCGCGGGGCCCAAAGACTCGCTTTCATTGATTCGCAAGATTCTCAAGTGATTGCAATATTGACCCATCTCTCCTTCGCAGAAAGTTTTCACGCAATCTACGTCGGGAGGGGCGAGACCGATGCTGAGATCTTTCTGAACGCCCGTTCGGCAATTCGAGTAGCAATTCTGCTCCACCAGACCCACGTGCAGTCCCTCAGGCTTGTCTGCATGTTTGAAAGCTTCCGTTAGAGTATTGGGACAGTTTTCGTCGCGGTAGGTGGCCATGGATATGAATGTGGTATCGCCAGAGGGGTCAAGCCTGGGGGGCGAGTACTCCTTGTCAAGGGGCAGCACGTGCTTCTGCGTCAGGGACACAAAGGTTTCCCAAACCTCTTCCGCCGCGATCACTGGGTTATCGCCAACCACTACCTTGTCAAATTCCATGTGAAGTTCTTGCAGGTACTCTTCAAATCTTTTAATGATGAATTCTATGCTTGCCACTGGCTTCGACGGCCCTTCCTCGTGCTCCTCGTTGGCATTTCCCATGCGCAAGATTCCTTCGGGTAGGACGTTGTGGGCAAGTTTGCCGGCTTCGTCTGAGGCAAATTCTAGCGCCTTCTTCGTAAAAGATCTGGCACTGTAGTCTCGCCCCACTGCCTCTCCCTCGAGTCCGCGCACATGGTCAGGCGACTCGGACACGAAAAAAAGCAAGCTACCCAAGAGAATGACCAGCGCCGTTGCTGGTAGAAGCCACTTGCTTCTAGCCCGCTTTCCATTGTTATCGCTTCCCATAGTATCCAACGTGATCTGTGGTCGTACTACCGTGTTTTAAATGGGGAAAGGAACTAGACGTGACTAGAAGGCACGATTTTGAGTTAGGTTGCATCAATGCAGCTATTTTTCTGCAAGACCAAACGGCCAGTCACCGGGAAAAATCCTGAATTGTGGTATATGAAGGTTTGGAATGTGGCACTTCGTGCGTCTGGAGCGGCTTTCCACGCGCGTGAAGGCGTTCAAGAGGTCACAGAAACAAGTTCGGGGGGCATGGGCCTGCTCGAGGCGGAACTCGCGGAAACGCTGGAGCGAGCGCTCCGAGCCGCTTATTCCCGTCTTGCTCGCAATGAACAAAACATCCGAAACGAAGGCAACCAATTTGGAGATAGGAAGAATCATAAAATGGCTTTAGAAATGATATATGAGCAGGGGGAAAACATTAATTGGCTGTGCATTCGTGGCGAGATTCAAGGAGGCCGTCGTTTTTCTACCTGCAAACACCTTGTGGTATTTCTGATGTAATAGGCCTATCGATCATCAATAAATGTGGACGGTTCGACGTTAATTTACAATGTCATGCCTTGAGACATTCTCCCTCGACGAATCGAAAGTTCGAACAGCTGATAATTGTTAAAGTTGACCCATAACTCCCTGATTGGTCGGGTCATTGTCAACCATACTTTAATGCAATTTCTCCCTCAAAATAAGTGCTGGCACATTTTATTTCCTTTTAGAGAGGAGCATGCCGTTGCCGCTGTTACAGAAGGAAAAGATTCCGAAGACGGAAGAAAGGCTAAGGGCACCGGGAATCCCATGGTCTGAGGGAAATGCTCCACACTGGCTGAGATCGGACACATCAGACTGGTGAGCGACAAGCGTGATTGCGTGCTGCGCTGGTCAGCGGAAACTAAATCGTCTTGCCTTGCGCGACCACGGCGCAATTTTTTTGACAGCCCTGCCGAGGCTCTCTCTCATCTTCCCACGTCTCGTGTCGGCGACGGCGCGCTCTGCTCACGGCCCTTGCCATTGCTCGCCCTTGTCACGTTTTGTACAAGCAGGAGACAAGCGAGCTCAAATGTCCATCCCAGCCGACGTAAGAGGGACATACTAAGCGTGGTTCGGCCTAGGCCCAGGACAAGGAGAGGAAGAAGCAAGGTACAAATGTTCACGCCTTCTTCCTTTTCGTCGCCTGTACTGTCCTTTTCACTATCTCTGCATGATTTTTCCATTGTTCACTGCTTTCACATTGCGAGTGCACTCACCCTCCTCTTCAGTTGCGGGGAAATCCAGACAAGTTGCGGGGAAGTCCAGACAGGACGCCCAAACTCCGGAGCTCACAAGGAGTAAAGACAAATTTCCTCAGGAAAGCTGTATTGCCATGTTATGTTCGGGTTATTGTAAAGGAAATCACTTGACAAACATGAGGGCCACCATTGCCTTGTAAGCAGCGCAATTTCTGCACAACGCATAGGTTCTGGTCATGAGGAAATGGGTAGTTGAGCCAGCGTTGCTGTCGACACCGCCATGATTACGTGTAGTCTCCGCTGTTCATTGACAGCTTGGAAGAGAAATGTCCAAAAGTGTCCATATGGGAGAGATATCTACGAAAGATTTGATTGCTGTGGAAAGTGGGGTCTTTGCGTTTTCTTATGAAGTTGTCGTTCAAGTGGGCCGCCGACGTCAACCCTGCAAGCGAGTGCAACTTAGCTTTCCAAAATGTGACTGGGAAAAGAATCATCAAGATGTCAATAAAGCATACAGCTAGACGATACGTAGCGTCCCCAACGTATGATGCGCCCGCCTCTACTTTCTTTCAGGGAAAACGGGGCAAACGGGACGTAGCAATGCTCGCTGTGAGGTGGGTTGGAGTGGGCGAAGGGGCGAGAGCGTGGGGCTGGGTAAAGAGGGGGATCGCTCAAGATTGACAAAGCATGCACGAAATACGTCCATTTCATTGCTGCGTCATTTTGGGACACCAACAGGTACAACGGAGGCATAAACGACGCAGCTACTACAGTGGAATATTCTTTCCAGAACTGTGTCCCGTCTATGATTTCGTCGCGACGCCCGGGGCTACTCCTGCTGCTCCCGGTCCTCGCCATGGTAAAGCCGACGGCCTGTTTTTTGCGGCCCGTCAGGACCGTACTACCTTCGCGGCATCACCATATAGCGACATTAATGGGCTGTAGAGGCCGATCACTAGGAGAAATTCCCTCGGCAATGTCCCCAAGGTACGCTCAAGGGAGTATCTAGAACAAGATTTGCCAGGTTCTCACCGATCTTAGTCAGTTCGCCAGCACGTGCTCTTACACCGTTAAGTCTACGCACTCCTGGTCAGGAGGCACCAATACACTCACTAATTTTCCTCATTGCAGACGCGCGCGCCCTCCTTGTGCAACCACCGCCGCCGCCTCCGTCAGCGCAACCGCTGCCCCTGCCAAAGCGGTCTCTCCTCCAGCTACCACGCTACAGCAACGCAGTGCAGCATTGACGCAAGTCCGTGATGAATTGTCCAAGCGTGGACTCGCTGCATTCATTGTTCCGTCTGGCGATCCCCACTTATCGGAATACCCCGCCGACCACTTCTGCCGCAGGGCCTTTATCTCCGGCTTTGATGGATCCGCCGGCACTGCTGTAGTGACGCCCACGCAGGCATTACTGTGGACAGATGGACGTTATCACTTGCAAGCAGAGCAGCAGCTTGGGCCTGACTGGACGCTGATGCGGGAAGGACAAAAGGGCGTGCCCTCCCTGACTGCTTACCTTCAGGAAGAGCTATCGGCCCAGGCGGTCGTGGGGCTGGACCCCACGGTGCATCCGGTCAAATTCGTCCAGAACCTCGCGCAGGCGCTTGGGAGCAAGAAGGTGCAGGTGCAGCCCTTGAACGTGGCGGAAACGAACCCGATCGACCTGGCGTGGAGAACGGCGGGGGGGCGACCGCCCGCGCCGCAAGCACCGGTGCGAATCCATCCCTTGGCTTTCGCCGGGGAGGCCGTGAGCGACAAGGTGAAAAGGCTGAGCGAAGAAATGGCCAAGGAGGGGGCGGACGTCCTGGTGGCGGGGACTTTGGATGAGGTAGCTTGGCTGTTGAACATCCGGGGCGAGGACGTGCCCAACTGTCCTTTGCCAGTGGCCTACGCGGTGCTGGAGCGAGAGGGGGCCTTTGATAGCGGTAACGGCGGGAAGGAAAAAAGTGCCAGGGTTATTGTCTTCGTGGAGGACGCAAAACTGGGTCCTACGGCGCGCGCCCACCTGGAGAAGGATTGCCGGGCCGAGATTCGCCCGTATGCCGAGATCTTTTCTTACCTATCAGGGGCCCATGCGAGCGGCCGAAAAATCTGGCTGGACCCCGACAAGAGCAATTACGCCCTTCTTCGAGCCGCATCGATGCCCCCTGAGAAAGGAAAAGTCACGGACGAGAAAGTGAGCGGAAGCACTGGTGATGGAGCCGTGGCTGCAACCGGCAAGGTACCCTCCGAGCCGTCCCTCCTACTCCACCCCACCCCTATTACCCTGTTCAAAGCCGTCAAAAACGAGGCAGAGCTCGAAGGGATGCGCGCCGCGCATTTACGAGACGGTGCGGCTGAGGTGGAGTTCTTGGCATGGCTGGAGAAGGAAATCCAAACGCGCTCTGTGAGCGAGGTGGAGATTGATCAGGTCCTGACGGGTTTCCGATCCCGTCGTGAGAAATTTCTGGGGGTAAGCTTCGACACAATCGCGGGAAGCGGGCCAAACGGCGCGATCATCCACTACCGAGCCATGCCTGAGACCTGTGGAGAAATGACTAAGGAGACGATGCTCCTCCTGGACTCTGGTGGGCAGTACGAGGACGGGACGACTGACGTGACCCGGACGGTGCACTTTGGCGAGCCGACCGAGGAAGAGAAGGAGGCATTTACGCGCGTATTGCAAGGGCACATCGGCGTGGACACGGCCGTTTTCCCTGAGGGTACGCCTGGCTTCGTCCTGGACGCGTACGCCCGTCGATCCTTGTGGCAAGCGGGTTCCGACTACGCCCATGGCACGGGCCACGGGGTGGGGGCGGCTCTTAATGTCCACGAAGGCCCGCACGGAATATCTTTTAATTTCGCGAACCGAACGCCGCTTCAAGCAGGCATGATAGTGAGCAACGAACCAGGGTACTATGCCTCGGGGGTGTTCGGGATTCGGATCGAGAATTTGCTGATCGTCGTGGAGAGAGCAGGGCTGGGGGGGGTCGGAGGGCAGGATCCCCGGCAACGCAAGTTTTTGGGGTTTGAACGGCTGACATACATACCCATCTCTAAGCGACTTATCAAACAAGACCTGCTCTCGCCTGAAGAGGTGAAGTGGGTGGACCGGTATCACGCTGAGGTGTGGGAGCGCATCAGTCCGCTGCTGACATCCTCTGAGGCCGAAGCATGGTTGAGGGAGGCGACAGCACCCATGGTATGCTAATCCTCAGGACAAAAGAAAAATTCGAAATGGTTGAGACATTCAGACGTGATTTCGATTACAGGGTGCCCAGCATTGCCGTTGACGAATGTGTCTTACATGTTGTGCTGCGATGTTGGCCTGGCTCACTTGACGTCTGCCCCGTCAAAATGCTTGCTTGCCTCGATCCGTACCATGAGTCGTGACGCATGGCTTCAGGCCAACAGCAAGAAGAAAATACTCAAAGAATCAGCACGAAATTCTAATACATGTCGGCCTGACTCGAGTACACTCTATTATCCATTATTCTTTTATTCCCTCTTGGGGCGCGGCACCCGTCCAACTTGACTACAGACCAATTTGCTTTTTAAATACGAACAAGACTAAAACCAGTATCCCAACCAGTACCATGATACAGACAAGCATACAGCATTGATATTTCCGCGCCTGTGTCAGGAGGAAACGTCAGGAGCTCGCAGTGAGCGATAACATAATTTGGAAGAGGGTTCGAAATTATCCCACCAGACAATTCACTCAGCGGACAGAGAAACATAGTGTATGCAATATGATTGACTGCATTTACACCCACCTTCTTCGCGTTGGCAATGGCACCCTGCACCTGCAGAGTTCCCTCCTCCACGTAGTTGGCCGCCCCTTTGACTTGATACTCGATTTGGTCCAACATTTCGCCTTGTTGCTCCACAAGCAATGCAAAATCCAAGAACATTTGGTGTAGCTCCGCGATGCTCGCTTCCAAGGTCAACACGTCCTGGTATTTATCCGCTACATTCTGATAAACGTTTCGTATTGACTCGTTCGCACCCTTTAAGATGGCTTGTGTTATAACCTGGTCCCCCCCTCCTCCTGACTTGAACACCGCCTCGATCTCCTCAGTTGAGGCGTCAGGCTTGACGATCTGGACCTGACGTTGGACTTTATCTTTGATGAACGCCTTGTACTTTGTCTGTGCGTTTTGGTAATCCTTCATGACGTCCACGAACTTTCTGGTCAAAGTGTTGGTCAAATTGTCCCGTATTCGCAGCTGGGACGGAGTGCACCGAGAATCCTGTCGCAGCTTTGTGGTTTCATCTTTCATCTTGCTGAGCATTTTTTTCGCTCGCGCAGCCTTGGGATTCGTCTCTTGGATGACGGCATTAAGTTCCTGACTTAGCTTCGCTTCTCGCGGTCCCGTCGTGGCCAAAAAAGCTTCCTGATGGATGCCACTCATTCGTCGAATTGCCTCTTTGATGGCATTAATATCCTCCTTTGTTGCTTCCACGTCAGTGAAAAAATCGTTCATGTATTGTGGCTGGCTTGCATTAGTTACGGCAGCCGACGGCGCTGCTCCAGCACCATCTCCTCGGCCCTGAAGACGCGTCATGTCGATTCCCACACTGTCTGAGGGTGTCCCGCCGCCCTTTGCCCGAAGCTCGGCCAACCTGTCGTTCATCCTTCACCTGTTATGTTGAAAAACATTATCATTTAATGTGGGAAGGCATCAACGGGGGGGTCGCACGAGGAGGGGCGGGACGCAGCGAAGCCGTCTTTTCAAGCGAGCGGCCTGGCCCATGCAGCTGCTGCTGGCTTTGTTCTTGGAATCTGCGCCGCATATTTTCTATGTTCCTTTCCCTTGGTGATGGCCGTACACCCCTGAATTATTACATTTTTCTTCTCTACGTGATAACATCGTATATGAATGGGATGCTTTATGCATCCTGAAGGATTCTTCGAGAAAGAGAACACAGTCCGCTTCTAGCCCTGTTAGAAAAAGACTTCCAGCGTATGCAGCCTCGTGGAAAGTAGATGGACCTTTTTTCTTACTGCGTAGGGTTCTGGTATTGTGCCCGAGGTTTGATAAAGCTGGGTGATACATTTATAATAACAGTTGCACCATTTTTTGGTGATTTTGCGATTTTGTGGTTTTGTGATTTTAAAACAGGAACTCATGAAAACTGCTGTATTCCTTTAGGTCATAAAAAATACTGCATCACTTTAACTTCAAGAAATATGATGAATGGCACGCGAAGAGCCGCGAACGATCAAACCCAACACGCCTTGTCGTTTACCGTTTAGTTGCATTCGGGAACCGAAATCCGTTCATATATCTGGCTCTTTACTTACCAGAAGGTCTATGTGCATGGTATCTTTTTGTATTCCTGTAGTCTCCCTTTTGAGTTTTAGCTAGCTTGAGGAAAATGAGCTGTATAAATACTAGTTAAGGAGTCTGTAGTCCCAGCCGCCAAAACAAGTTTACAAGGGTGGAACGCCAAAGTTGCCACGGGACCGATCCGTTGGCCAAGGATCCCGTCGTGATAGCGGATGACGCTGAGAGTATCCCCCTCGAGCGTCAACATCTTGATGAACTGGTTGTAAGATCCCGATGCCAGGAGAGGACAGGTCTGGTGAGCCGCCATGGCTGTCATGGGACCTTTGCCCACGTCCATCGTACGAAGAGAAGTCTTCAGCCTTCGCAGATCCCAGGCGCGAACTTCACCAGTTAAGGAGCCTGTGAGCAATTCTCGGTCCCCTTTGACAAAATCAGTGAGCACCAGCCATTGCTGATGCTCCGTGAGGACCCCAACGCATTTATCCACCCGTACGTCCCAGATTTTCCCCTTGCCGTCACCGAAACCGGCAACCACCAGAGGCGAGGATGAGATTTGCGATCCACGCGCCCCGTTACCCCCTGAGTCCCGCCCGCCCGCCCCTCCGTGAGGCGTGCTGGCAGCCAGGCATGTCACACAAGCCTCCCCACCCGTCTCCCACTCCCTGACCATCTGCTCCCTCTCCAAGTCCCAGGCCCGAAGCCGGTCTGAGCTTCCCCCCGTCAGGAGGAGGCCTGCACCGTGGACCCATTTTGTGACAACGCCGAAGCCACGCCCCACGAGTGCGTGGGCGAAAAAGGCTGTCGCCAGACGGGGGGGAACCCAGTCCGCCCCCGTCGGGACCACCCCGCTCCACACGCGGACGACCCCCTCATCCGTCCCGGTGAGCAAGAGGGAGGAGGTTGCCTCGTTCAACCAAGCCAGGCTTGTGATCCTCGATGCCTTGCTAGGAATCGGCTCGTTCCTGAACACGCCCAGCTTCTTCCCGTCCTCGTGATTCCATACCCGGAGGTTGGCGTGGTCGTCCGAGGCAATCAAAAGCGGCTCGAAGGGGTGGAACAACAGTTGCGACGTCATTTGTGCGTCGCTTTCAAATACAACTTTTTGCTGAAGTCGAAGCACCTGGTTCTTACGCTTTACAGTATCTCCCATGCTCTTCGTTAGCGCGGTCTTCTTCACGTTACCTTTTCGAGCCCCAGCCGCGCCATCCATCCCCTCGCGTTGCGCTGCCAGCAGTGCATCGATCCCGCCCAACATGAAGTACAGGTCCGAGTCCTCCTCCTCTTCCGGCATGCCCAGGACCCCCGTGCATTTCAGAGTAAGGGCCTTGGCCTCCTCCAGCACCCGCTGATTCCGTGACCGTCGATAGAGCGCCACCTGTCCTTCCGGTGACAGCGGGTCGTCTTCCTCCCCTCCGGGACCTTCCACCGCAGAGAGGGCAGCGGGGGCGGAGAGCTGCTTCTTGCTCCAGGCGTATATGTTCGTCCTTTGATACTGGACACGTAGCCATTGCAAAGAGGGGGACTCGGCCAGGGCTGTGGCCGTGGCCGAGGAAAAGCGGGCGGAGGAGGCTTGTCCCATGGCTGTGGAGTCGTCAGGGGCCGCCAGAGATTCGTGGCGGATCAAGGGCACTGAGCCCGGCATCTCTGCCCTCCCCATAAGCCCCCCCTTCGACTGCTTCAAGCCTCTGGCCTCGTAGCTGCCACCCTCGAAAACCTCTCCCGACCCTTTCCCCTTTAGGGTGTTTCCCCCTGGCCCCGTTCCCGAAGCAGATTGCAAAAGGGAGGAGGCCGCTGACGGTCTCGTGCTGACTCCTCCACCTGGAATGGGTCTATCTGACGGACCACTGGGAGTCGTGGTGCTGTTTCCGAGGCCTGCATGCAGGTGATTTGTGCCTCCGTAGGGCGAAGCGGTGCTGCGCCCGGCAGCTTCACGCAGACCCGTCGGAGGGGGGCGGGCATAGTCCCCCTGGGGAGTAGGCAGACGGGCAAGCTCGTGCGCCGAGACGGCACGCTCCAGAGGAACGCGGTTTGACGAGGAAAGATGGGTGGGGGCAGGACAAGTCGGCAGATTATTCACGACATGTTTTCCTGACGACAGCCGGTAGTGGCCGTCATGCCCACGGTATGTATGTTGCTGTTGCTGCCGAGATCGAAGCTGTTGTTTCTGGGAGGAGGAGGCATTCGGATTTGCCGAGGTAGGGGGGCTGCGTGGTGGGATGCCGGACGGGTGGGGAGGGCGAGGGGGAACCCGCGGTGGATGAGAGGTTGAAGAGAGTCCAGGAGAGGCGAGGAGCGAGCTCTCTTGCCGTCCTTGCTGCTGTTGCGCGTCGATTTCATTTTGTTCTCGCTTTTCATGGTGCAAATGATCGTGTCGTGGCTGCGGCTGCTCCTCTGATGCTTGCTCTTGTCGGTGTTGCAGCTCCATGGGGGATAACGTCATGGCGGAGGCGGTGGAGCGTAAGGGACGAGCGGAAGCACCCGGGAAGGCCACATTCTTGCTTGGATTTAGGTTCATATCCAGCAAGCATTCGTGGACCAAGTGTACGATCTGGCCAGCAACGTCTGCGACAGGCGGAAAGGGCTCTTTTTGATGCACTTGTCGTATCGCGAGCCAAATGAGCAGATAGTGTTCGCCTATCTCCCCAGCTTTCCTCTTGAGACGCGCCGCCAAGGCTTGGCACCACAGCCTCTGCCCCTTGTCCCGGGCTTCCTGGTCCCTGTCATTTTTATTCCTGCTGCCTGTCCTCTCACCGTCTCTTTCTTTTTGCTGCGATGGCGACAACCCCAAGGCACGATCCTCTTTGCGGCCCTGGCTCTCGGCCTCCTCGTCCAATACCAAGCCTACCATTGAGGACGTGGAGGACGAGGCATCCAAGGATGCAATCGAATCGCAGCTTCGAGACTTCTGCATTGTCCCTTTGCCATCCGTTTGCCCAGATTTCCTCTCTCCTCTGATCTGAGACTCGCGGGATCTG